TCCATTTGAAGATAAATTAAAAGAAACTAAAAAAGATTTATTATTAAATCTTATAATTTTAAAAGGTTATATCTCGAAAGGTTTTTTCCTTTATTAATCACATCTATTTTGTGATATAATTTTCATTCGAGTTTTTCCAAATGAAAAAGGAACTGTACTGTAGTCGGAAGGAAACCGAAAATATTTTCTTATTACAACTTTATTTTTCTAGGTTTTTTTATTTCATCTTTCTAGTTTTTTTATTTGTTTTTCGTTACTGTTTAATTTTTTTTTGTAATTTAACCCTCCGGGTTCTAAAAAAAAGAAGGCCTCGGGACCTTCTAATATAGAAGTTTAATTGAAGTTCTACCAATGGGTGGTTTCTCTTCATGTTATACATGTCATGTTACTAATTCCAAATTTGTTTATTGTATGTTTTATGTAATTTTTGTTTGTTTTTTCTGTTGACATTACAGACCATGTAGATCTTTTACCGCCTTCTCCATCTCTGCCTGTCTTGGGCTATTTTTTTCCAAGCACACAGCTCTGTTGAAACTTCGTTGATTCTATCGTTAGAACAAAAAAAAGCTGAAATGGATGTATATGTGTGTATATTGTAATTTTTATAATAAAATAGTTAGAAATGGTATGACTTGTATGTGTATACGTGTATACAATGTATATCAATGGTGTGAGGTAACAGCCTTGAGCTACTCCTCCTAGATCTAGCCAAATATAACAAATTGTGTATTGAAATTGGTCTGCATTTTAATTTTTAAAAACATTTATAATTTTTTTTCTTTTGCCATTACAGACCATGTCGATCTTTTACCACCTTAACAAGCCTGCTCTATTTCTGCCTGTCTTGGGCTATTTCTTTCCATTTATCTGCATGCAGCTCTGTTACATCTTGGTTGATTCTATCTATCCATCTGCTTTTTGGCCTTCCACGTGCTCTTTTGTCTTCAATTGAGGAATTCATTGTTACGTAAAGGATTCCAGATGGATTGCTACGAGCTACATGCCCCGTCCATCTTAACCTCTGTGCTTTCATATCATGAGGTATGGATTGACCAGTTTCTGTAAGTAGTTGTTTAATGGTCTTTCTTCGCCATGTGTTAGTACTCTGATCCCAGATAGCTTCGGTTATCGTGCGGAAGATTTTCCTCTCAAATCTTTCAACACTTTTTTTCTAGGGTGCTGGTTAGTGTTAAGGTCTCACAACCATATATTAGAACTGGCTTTATCATATCATTGTACACCCTTAGTTTGAGATTTTTCGGGATTTCAATACCTTTGAGAGAGAAGCTCTGTCTGGTCTATTTCTGCCCGTTGGTCCATTCATTCTGTTATTGTGGAATCGAGGTATTTGAATTTTTATATTCTCGAGAATGATTTTCCTTCTACGCAGATCCTGTTATTAGGGTCGACTTTTCGGCTTATTATCATTTTTTTTTTTTGTAATATAGTTGTAAATTTTAATAAATATAATTTTTGAAAAATATTATTACCATTACAATTTCGCCACTTCCTATCTGTCGTTAAATAGATAGTCTAAACTAATTTCAAAACTTTGTTATGATATTTCTATTTTAATGTTAAAAACCTATAAGTTGATTTATGCTTTTTAATTAGCACATTAGTGTATTCTTTACCTAAAAGTTATTTTAAAGTACTTATCATACTTGTTTTTTATTTTTTTAATTCGATATCTCATTACATAGGGTAAATTATTTTTTTATATAAAGTATCCCTTTGAGTACAAACTCTAGACAGTCGCTAGGCCCTGAATAGGACACTGCACCACCCGATCACCAAAGAAACCGCACCAAAGTTTAACCTTGCCAAAGGACACTAAGCATAAAGCATTAAATTAAAGGCTGTTCTCGGTTGTAGCTGACACAGTAAAAGCAAAGCAAAGACCTATTTCCTTTATTCATCTGAGTCTTGTTAAAGCTCACTTCGGACTGAACTTGTGTACCTGTGATAGCTAGTAACTTAATTTTTTAATATGTCTGAGCAGCAAACTTTTGTCGAGTGATTTATTAAATATTTTTAGTTGGGTGGATTCGTAAATAATTTAGTTGAACAAGAACCTATCGTTTAGGTAGAGCTACGAAGTTAGCCTCGCAAATACGCCGTAATAATAGCCAAGATACCTTAAAACATATTTTGAAAATTATAGATTACTACTGGTAGAATTTTACGAAAAACAAATAAGTGAAGAAATCTTCATATCGGAAAATACAAAGGAAATCATTTTAAATTATACTTTTATTATTTACTTTATTACAAAACTATACTTCTATATTATTTCTCAATTTTCCATAAAATATAATGATTGAGCCTTCATTTTGAAGACATTTTTCTCCTTCTGGAAAAATAGTCACATCCACTCGAAATTTCATAAAATGACTATTAAGTAATTGTCACTAATAAATATTTACTGAATCAAACAATTTTGAAATGCCATAAAAGGCACAATTTAACATTTTGTTTAAAGATTTCTTCGGTTGTTTTATGAATGAATGAATGAAAATAATTTTATTATTTTGAGACTAGTGCCTCTTTACAACAAATTATAAATACAGAATATATATAAATATTTTTGTGTATCTATAAAATACAATTAAATATTTACAGGATGATGGGTAATAAAATACAAGTACAGATAATGAAAAGATATAAAAATGTACATAAATATATAATAAACAGAAAAAGTAAAATAAATAAACAAAGTATTAATAAAATATAAAATAATCAAAGTATCTGGGGGTACTTTGAGATTCCTGCTGTTTAGATTTTTAAGTGCATTTCATGATCAACCGGATTGGGAATATATTAGGTGTTTAAAGAGGAGAGATTTGAAATAGGATACTGACTTGACATGTAGAATATCAGAGGGGATAGAATTTCAGAGGGAGACAGCTTGAATTAAAAAAGATTAGTCAAACCCAGCAGTTCAGTGATGAGGAAGATAGAGGTCGGTCGTACGGGATCTGGTGGGACGGGATTGAAAGGAGCCTTTGAATTTTAAGATCTGTAGAATATAGGAGGAGGGTCGCCGAGTTCTAATGGCCTAGTATATGACGGTAGCAAGGAAATACTGACGGCGGTGGGACGGATAAAGCCACTTCAATTCGGTGTAAAACTGGGTAATATGTGTACCCCTTGAGATCCCGATGATAAAGCGTATTGAACAATTCATTAGCATCGAGTTCTCCCGAGAGTCCACCATACACCACACAGCCATAGTCGAAGTGGGGGAAAACAAGAGATGAAACCAGGTTGAGCAGTTGACGAGTTTTGAGTGAAAGAAGATAACATAGATGGTTAAGCCGTTTCAGGGTGGAAATAGTATGGCGGAAAATTTGGGAGATGTGTGGTTTACAGGTGAGGGTTTTATCGAGGGTAACGCCACGATTTTTAACGGTAGTATGGAAGGAGATAGGTGAGTTGTTCAGGAGAAGATTGCGAGGTATAAAATGGATTTGACGAGTGATGGATGATCAGGTTGCCTTTGGGGTCTCGGTATGTAATGTGAGCTTATCAAGATTTGCATGAGCGCATATTCTATTGAAGTCTTGTTGCAGTTTTATGGAGGACTTACTGAAAATTTAGGGAATATTTTACGTGAACCTCATTGGAAACAGTCAAATTAGTTCTAAGTATGGATTGTAAAGTCAAATATTAATAAAATATTGATATTACTGTAACCTTAATTATTGCAATTCAAAAAAAAAAAAACCAAACTCAACCAAACAAAATTAATTAGAAAACGATTTATGTAAACTATATATAACATGGTATTATAGATTCATTTCCGGCTCTCTGGGTCGATGTTGATGGATGAGTTATCAAACGAAAAAGAATTTAAACCAACTATAAGATTTCAAAAATCTGGTAGTTTCAAAAATCGACGAATTGAGAAGGAATAGATTGTGTTTTAGTGATTTTGATACGGGCATTAAAGCGATAAAAAAAATGGACCGTATTCGAAATAAGCCGTAAACAATAAAATTGAGCCTACAATTATTCGAGTTTCTGCTAAAACTTCCAACATTAAAAAAATTCAGTCCTTCCAGTCTAAAGTGTTGCGAAGGATAGTTGACGCCCCGCCCCGTTTTATGTCGCAAATGATATACTACGTAAAGACTTAAACGTACCTACAATTTTAAATACTGCAAAAGGAAACTACAATAACTTTCACCAAAGACTGACGTACAACAAGAATCCTCTGACAGAAATCCTTCATCGTCCAAGAAACCCGTACAGCCCACAACGTCGATTACGAATTTGTTGGCAAAGAGACCTGCTGATCTGATTTATATCCTTGATGCGACGAGATACTGTGAAGCTGCCAAAAATTTGCTTATTGCCAAAAAAATTGCAGATTAAAAATTTAATCTAATCTACTCCAATTTTGTTTGGTTAATAATAAAAAATACTCATAGTAAGTAAGAGAACTACAAATATCTTTTCTACAAACTAATAATTCTTGAGCGGGTACAATAACGGTTTAGAATGAGTTCATGAATAGATGTGTCTTGTTGCTTAACTATTAAATTAGTGAGATATTTACTGTCGGAAAAGCAAACCAATTATTAAGTAAAGTATTACTTTAACAGTGGCTGGTAAAGTATGAAGTGTCTCTACCTGTATATGGTGAATAGACTATCTTGCTAATATCATATTGTAATTACGAGTAAACACGTTTTTCTGTTTCGCTAATGCTTCGAATGTGAAAGGAAAAGGATAACATTCTAATAAAATAGTTCTCCCTGAGATACACTAGTTCATTTTGGTTGTATTTGCTGTTATATTGTGTAAATCTCGATTTTTTTCATTATCTAAAATATGATAATTTCCATTTTTTTTTTAAATGAACCCTTGAACCATTTATTTAAAAGGTTCTTCCATCAATGGCCATTTGACAGAGTGATGACGGAATAGCAAAGAGGCTTCATAACCAGAAGAGAACCCTCAGAGAAGGGAAGATAAAGCTTCAACTCCCCTGACTGATGTCGGACCGGCAAGATCAAAGGGAATATTCCCCCTCCCCCTCCCTCTTGACTGGACAAGAACATCAGAACCTCCAAAAAAGTAATCTTATCCACGAAAGTTGATGAAAACTCTTTCATCATCATCAGTAGGGAGCAGTGATATTTTAAAATTGAAATGGGACGATTGAATTAATCAAATCCCTAAATTGATCAAACCCCCTTTCTTTAATCAGATTCAGTTTCATCTCACCGTAATTATGGTCCCTTGATCTAGATGGTCATATAGTTCATCTCGAAATTTTCATTAAAGTGATTTTTTTTTTCTATTAAATCTCGATATTTCATCTAATCACGTCGATCCATCTCTAAAGGAACATTTAAATTTTCACTTGATTCAATTATAATTTATTTAAAAATTGCTTGTTTGTGTGTAACATGTTCGTGGTACTATTTTTCTTTACATATAGTCCGTGGTACAGACCACTTTTTATAGAATTATTAACACCCGTCTAAAACCTCACGAATGGCTTCTTCTTATAGTTACCTACAATTATTTTATTTTCGAAAAATGACGGAAATGCGGCGTTTTCAATCTGGAGATAGGCGAACATGGTCTATTTAAGGAGCTACTAAAAACTTACAAACAACCAATAGATTTCCACTTGAATCGTAAGATAATTTTGTTAAAAAATAGGTGGTCTACAAAAATGTGATGGAGGGATCACCTTCATATTTGATTTGTCAAAATCACGATGTTATATAGGCCAAACGGTCCAATATGTTGACCATCTTTTTTCTCGACATTGTATCAAATTATCTTACGATTCAATTGGAAACGAAATGGATATTAGTGAGTTTTTATTACCTCATTAAATTTAATGAGAAAACGCCCGATTTTTTAAAATTTTTATAAGATGAAGTCATTCAAAAAGTTTGATCGGATGTTAATAATTTGATAAAAATGGGTGAGCACTACGTATTAATATAAAATGTTAAAACGGAAGGAAAATACTTCAGAATTAATTCCACTTATTCAAATTACTAATTTCCACATCTTCATCGCTGAAACTTAGACAAAACCTATATCATCATAGCTCAACAACCCAAAACGAACCATCAAAGATATAAATAAAAATACCCCACTTATCTACTGAATACTATCATTATCACAGGTAAATTTATCCAATTTTCACCATGTATGCTGTTTTTATAAATAAATTTAAACCTTAAAATTGTAATGTGATTACTATAAATTCATGTGCTTTAACATTTTCACTTTATTAAAAAAAAAAAAAGGAAATTTAACTAAATTGTTGTATTCAATTAAAGGATATTTCAGTTTCATAAAAAAAAGAAGGTTTTTAGTAAACTATAAATCATCTTAGTAAAAATCTTTATTCTAGAAAAGTACCTTTTTTGTCTCTATTTATGATATTTTAATAATAATGAATCAAAAGTTATAAAAAAATGCAATTGGCTGTGTTTGCTATAAATAGGCTTATTTCGTACCGTTTCCTACAGCATAGAAAACAAGATCCCGTATTTCTAATATACTCCCTCTCATAGAACTAAATCCTTCGAACGTTCCTTTCTGGCCCGTTTCGTTACCTTCTGGAATTCCTCGCCCATACTAACATCCGCCATGTTTCGCTTGTGTCATCAATCAAATACCTCATTTACCAATAATTCCTTATATCCCAAACAGACGCATTACAATCAAGCAACTACATTTTATGAATGGAAGTTTTGTCCTGAATATGTTGGAGTTGCTGTTCATTCAATTTTGTTTATTATTTTCAATAATGAACCATTGTGATCGAACTAAATACTCAAAAACATAACCCCCTCTCAAAATTTGAGATTTTACGTTTCAGGATACGTAGAATTCGTAAAACGAATAAAATGGATTTTTTCCGTCTGTCTTACGCCGTACGCCGTCTGCCTTCCGCGGATTTTCTCCGAAACTACTGTACCGATTTTTTTCAAATTTGGATTTAAAATCAGATGCACCCAAGAATGATCCTCCTTCATCGACATTACTATCTGCCGTCTTTTCCATTCAGAAAGGCGGCCTAAAACCTGCGTTGCTATAGACAGTAGTGCCTAAACGAATGTACATATTTCAATGAAACATCGCTAAAGTCTTCTTCTCGACGCCCTTTAAATCTATCTACGTAACATACTTCAACGAAAAGAAGCTGGAAAAAAGATACGAGGGGTGGTAAAATTAAATTCCGAATAACTCAAAAAATATAAACTTTTTTGTCAATATTGTGATAAGATGTTTCAAAGGTATTTCTTAAAAAAAGAAGAAGTTTCATCGAAATTAAAGCACTATTAGTAGATGCAAATGGTTATTTAAAACTTCACGGAATTCACTAAAAAAAAAATAATAAATAAATAAAATCGTTAAAATTGGACAATAAGGAACAAAGATATGGTCTCCAGTTTTTTTTTTTTTTTTTTTTTTGTATGTTCTACTGCAAAGGTTATATCCTTTGTTTTGATTTTTGAATTTTGAATGTGTTACTGAAGTAATGCTAATTTTTTTAGCATATTACTAATGATTAAAAAAAAAGTTTAGACCAATAATTGGAATCACCTTTTATTTAATTTTCTTTGTAACTAGGTACATTTTGTTTCTTTAGTACATTTTGTAATGTTACTTTAGATTTATAATTGTTTGAAAATAATGAATCATTGTAAAATAATTTGCAGCGTTTTTTTTTTCATTATTATTATATTTATTCTTGAAAAGATCTTATTTATTTTTAGATGTTATTATTGGAGTTACTGTATACGTTGTTAAACATTTTGCTAATTTTTGGGGCAAATATATGTTTTAAATGTACATTATAGTTATTCTTTGGTGACCGTTTCCCAGAATATTTTTTTTTTTTTACTTATCTATTTTTTTTTAATATACAAGATGATGTCTTAATTATTTTCTTTATAATAATTACTGAAGATGTGACGTGTAAAATAAAATTACCTTTGAGAAATACTGTATATAGATAATCGCACATTTAACACGAATTCGTGTGATTCAATGGATTATTTATTTGTTCGCTGTAATATTGTGTGATTTAATACAAGGTTCATGGACAAGTTGCCCGCACTACAAAGACCTAATTAAATTCTCTCCAGATGACCTCATTGTTCCATCACGCCTGTGACATTAACAAAACATTCAGTTACTAATTGCACTACAAGGTTTAGTTAATTAGAGTCCATTACAGGTGTAATAGCATGTAATAAAGGTAAGCAACAAGTAGTAACGGTAATTAGAAAGTTAAATACCGTTTACAAAATTATTATTTTCGGGATTTTATATGAAACGTATAATTAGAGGACAGCTGAAAGAGGTTTGTTTTCAGGTATTATATTAACTTTCATTTTAATCAGTTACGATATGAATATCAATTTTCAATTTTTTGTTTTTGTTTTGTTTGTTATTTTATTTAGTTACTGAATGTTTGTTCTATTCGGCATTTCAAGTCAAAGTTTATAGTACTCTTATATACAAAATATTATGGTAAAACGACCCATTTCACCGAAAACAAATCTAAAAAATTATATACGTACGGTGCATTCTTAGCTAGAAATATAATATTCATTGAAGAAAAAATAACTCAAACTTTTACAATAAGCCAACAACTTTATATAAACTAGTTCCTTACATGAACGTTTCATCGAAAATGTTAAAATTAATATATTTTTAAATTTTCATAATAGTATTTATTTTTTTCTCTTTTATCCATATCAAATTTTCTTTCTTGTATTCACCTCACATTTTATTTTTTTTCTTATATCTACCTCATATTTTATTTTATTATTATTATTTTTTTTATCTCACATCCATTTCTCACTACTAACAATAATACATTTATTGGCTAAAAGAAACTATCATTATTATTAGATAGTTTGTTGCAACAAACCATATAAAATCATTATATTATACTCTACCATTGAAGGTCATTTCTTACGTTGCAAATCTACTCCCATGAACAATTCTGGTTATTTCGATACTTTTAATCTCATAAAATGAAACAAACGAAGGAATAACACAACTAATTATTTGATTTCTACAATTAAGCTATTATTGGTAAAAGTATGATAATTTTAAAAGGTTTATAATTCTACCAATACATGTTTAAGTTCCTTAACTCAGCGCTGAACTCATCGTTCTAAACTGGGCGAAAAGATGTAACCGATATATATATATATATATATATATATATTTTTTTTTTTTTTTTATTTAGACATATAATAATCTGTAAGTCTGATATGACGATGTTCGAAGCAGTCAGTACTTTATTCCAAAATTGTAGCGTAAATTTTCGTAACTTCCTTAATAAGTTTAAGGAACTCCTTATTCATTTGAAGATGCAGTTGAACTTTTGGTTTTTCAAAGAGCTATAACAATTATACCAACACTGACAAGTGTTGGGTACATTGTTCATAGTAGAGCGCGTATAGAAAAAAATAAAGAAATTTCTTTATTTTTGTAACATAATTTGACACTTATTGAATATTTATGTCATTTCTTATACTTTATAAATTAAGAATCGGTTAATATAGCAAGGAGTTGTATTTATTTTATAATTTGAATAGTACCTTATTTCTGAATTGCAGCATTAAATGTTTCTATTACGTTCTTAAATAGTTTAACAATATTTTTTTTTATTTGTAATCGCCTCTTTATTGCTTAGTAGATGTCAAGAATATGACAGTCATTAGTCAGATATATGAAATTAACTCGAAGCAGTTAATTACCTTCGATGGCATATTAATGGATAAAATGATATAAGAATATTAATACTAGCAAGATAGTAAAAGTAGCTATAATAATTTTAAAAAGGCTTTAAATTTAATAATACATTTTAAAGTTCCTTAACTCAGCGCTGAATTCATCGTCTAAACTGGATGAAAAGATGACACCGATGAGTTCAGCGCTGAGTTTAGGAACTTGGCCTATTTATTGTTAAAATTATAAACCTTTCGAAATAATAATGCTATTACTATCTTACAAGTATTAATATTATTTTATCATTTTATTCAAAGACATGACATCGATGGCTGCACCACTTTGAATTAATT